CTTGGCTTATCAAACCAACCACAGACCCTCATGACCAAGAGAGCCAGTCCCAGTACTGAGTCCTTGGTGGCTATGATGACTGGTCCAAAGATAGGTGCATGACCAAAAGCAGGACCAATGAGAATCCCTACTGGAAATTAAGAGTGCAAACTACCAGGATGAGGTTGGAATTCTAAGCTGGAAAGGCACATTCCCAGAGCTACTGGGTGCCATCTTCCCTGACCTCCTAGAGGAAGCCCATTTTTGCCAGAGAAAATGAGGTGAACATAAAGGATAAAGGATAAGCAGATAACAAGAGATCCCAACAGAGAAATTCCAGACAGCACTGAGTTTCGGTTCCAGTGTCTGAGGATCCAGTTTCTGGATGCTGTTTTTTTAAAATTCTGTAAGCTATCCCCACTGCAAGATTCTCTCCATCAGTAGGAGGAAATATTCTCCATGTACAAGAGGATTTCAAGCTCCCGTCAACATAAACTGACTCTACTCAACTCACCCTTCTTCCTCATTTTTCTTTTCTAAGGCTCAGCTAGTCACTTATGAATAGGATCTCATTTCTCTCTAATTTTATTAATACTTGAGCCTAGTTTTCAAATGATGGACACCTACCCTTCCTACAATTTCCTCAGCTTAAGTTCCTTCCCTTTAAAAGACAAAGTCCAACAGAAAACAAAGCCTCTCCCTTTTCCGTGAATTGCTCACAAGTTCTTTGCCTCTTGGGCTTTCCTCAAAGAGGCCACAGATGGCTGCATCACCCATACATATTATTCTTACTGTAACCGACCACAATTTTACTTTCCTCCAATGCTATTTCCTCAAAACTGCTCTTCATTTGCCAAGTTAGGAAACTGTTTAATTAAAAAACAATGTCCATGATTCAGAAATGGACAAAAAGAGATTATGTGCTGGGTGTCTCAGCAGGGAAATACAGGTGTTGTCTTCCAGAGTCTGGAAGTGGTGGGGAAAGGAGATCTGATTCAATGGGGTATGTTCTTCTGACTGACTGGCTGTAGGTAAGCCTGTTGCAAAGAGAAGGACACAGGCCTGGGCAACAGAACAACTGTAACAAGAAGGCTACTCCGTAGGGGTAGAGACTAATCTGACAGCAATGCAAATGCTTCCTGGTTCATGCACTGCAGATCAGATGATTCCTATCACAACCCTGTGAATGAAGTCTGTTGAAAAAGAATTTAAATCTCTTCACATCAAACTGGATAACACCTTAGAGGTTATCTGATGAGGAAAACCTTTGATATGCATTCATTGTGCAACACAGTTATGATTTGCCTCGTCAACAATTATACTTCAATCACTTCTGGTTTGACGCTGGGAAAGACTGAAGGAAGGAGAAGAAGGGGATGACAGAGGATGAGAGGGTGGCATGGCATCACCAACTTGATGGACATGAGTTTGAGCAAGCTGTGGGGAGTTGGTGATGGACAGGGAAGCCCGGCATGCTGCAGTCCATGGGGTTGCAAAGAGTTGGACACGACTGAGCAACTGAACTGAACTGAACTTCTGGTCTGCATCCCATTTGCACCCCCATCATTTCTCTCATTTAGATATTAACTTAACTTGACTTCCAGCCCATAATACCTCCTGGTTCCGATCTTCAGTTTCTAGCTACTGCTTCCCCTCCACTGATTTACTTTTGATTCCCTTAATGTTGCAACTCAACAAGGTTCTTTCTCAGGATTCTTCCCCAGAGGCATCTTGAGGGTAAAATGAGGGCAAACACTGGGCAAGGAAGCTTAGTACCTTGTTAATGCTAAATAAAAGTTAGATGGCACTAGCATCATCAACATTATCACCATGTGCCAACATCATCATCATTCGATTTTCTGTTGCTAAAATTATTTTATAAGCCTTTCTCATCCCTGAGATCCCCCTTTAAGAACAGGCCCTGTGTTCTACTTGTTATTGTATCCTTGGCACCCAGAGATATATGTCTGAAGAAGGAAGAGAGAACCACTGGGCTCTAGAAAAGTATTTATATAATCATCTTGCACTTAATATTTTTAATGAAAGATATATTTAAAAAGTCACAAACAAGCATTTGTCTCTTAACATCCAGTCAGTCAGTCCAGTCGCTCAGTTGTGTCCGATTCTTTGCGACCCCAGGAGCTGCAGCACACCAGGCCTCCCTGTCCATCACCAACTCCTGGAGTTTACCCAAACTCATGTCCACTGAGTCGGTGATGCCATCCAGCCATCTCATCCTCTTTCGTCCCCTTCTCCTCCTGCCCCTAATCCCTCCCAGCATCAGAGTCTTTTCTAATGAGTCAACTCTTCGCATGAGGTGGCCAAACTATTGGAGTTTCAGCTTTAGCATCAGTCCTTCCAATGAACACCCAGGACTGATCTCCTTTAGGATGGACTGGTTGGATCTCCTTGCAGTCTTAACATCCAAGCACCAGTAAAATTCTTGGGGGAAGTTCTGGGATGACTCCTCGCTTCTGCTCCCCTCTCCCACTTTTTTAGGTCATGGGGTCTAAGGCCCTGACGGCTTAGAGTCACTAGTAGAATGGGGTGGTACGGGGAGGGAGAGATTAAGCTCCAGTTGACCCCCAGGAAACTGAGAAATTGGATATGCAGTCAGAGTGACTAAGCGAGAGGGTGACTTTTAGAAATGCTAATGTACAGTTATTCTCCTTCTTTAAAAAAACACCTTCAAGGACACTTTTGTTGTCACAGATGTGAAAGTGAAAGAAGTATTAAGTCACTCAGTCGTGTCCAATACTGGAGTGGGTAGCCTCTCTCTTCTCCAGGGGATCTTCCCAAACCAGGGATCGAACCCAGGTCTCCTGCATTGCAGGCAAATTCTTTACCAGCTGAGCCACAAGGGAAGCCTGTTATTAACAGAAGAGACCAAATTCATTAAAAGGGCTCACAAGGCCTGATGTCTGGACCCTTTCTTACTTCTCTAGCCTAACTTTTGTCTCATCATCTTAAGACTCTGGCCTGCATGCATCCTTGTACACGATCTCTGTGGGTGGTGAGCTGAGACAAGCAGGTATGACCAGAATTTCAAGACGAAGGAGAAACAACCAAGGGCTCACTCTCCCTTTTCCCACCCACTCGCACCACGCTGTGACAACCAACAATCTGGCAAAGTCTGGGACTGGGAAGAACAATCCTGTGGCTTAGCGCTGGGACAAACAGCAGACTAAAACAGGAAGTGAAGCTACCCAGGCATTAGTGGGATCTCTAAGTGGAGTGGGAATAAGGGTTGTTCTCAGGGTTATGAAGAGTGATTTTTATAGAGCCATCATGCAAATGTAAAAACATCTGATTATTTATAACTGACACTGAAGAAAACCTTAGATGCCAACTGTGATATGTACATCAAAAGAATCATTCAACAGAAAATGATGATATAATCAATGTCACTAAATGAATGAGTTGCAACCTTCAGAAAAATGTATTTAATATTTAGACTACATAATCTGCAGGGGTATCCAGAAAAGTAAAATAGTATCTAAAACCTATAAGCATGCAGGCAGCGTTCCAATTTACCAAACTTGTAACTTATCCACAAAACTGTACTACAGGAACTCTTCAATTAAATGTGAGTATTATTTCCAAAAATGTATATTTTAGAAATGTCATAGTTGCGCAAAGTAAATTTATTATCAGTGCTTATATAATAGATTTTCTTAGAAAAATATAAAGAATGCAAATATTAGTGATTTCTACTTAAATAGAAAGAAGTATCTTTTCACATCATGGTTCATACTCCTTCAAGACAAAAATTACTTGATATGCAATATACTGTGATAATACCATGCCATTTTGCTTTCCAAAATACAGGAGTTAGAATTTAGAGGTTGTCTTTTCTTATAGTGCTATCAATAAAAATATACATGTAGGTATATATATGTAGATATATATTTCATTAACACACATTTTGGATCCAAAAAGGCCAAAGAAAATTTTCTTGCACATAAAAGATTACAATAAAGAGAATGTTGGCAGGTTATCTCTTGTTTATGGAAGGTAAGAAATTTTGCTTTGTCAAGAGGCAGAAGACTAATTCCTTGAAATGTTCTTCAAACACAAAGAGTCACATATTATAGGAACATATAACTATCTAGAAATGTGGGACAACATGCTTTGGACTCATTACTTTAGTCCATACTAAAGGAGATCATTCCTGGGTGTTCATTGGAAGGACTGATGCTGAAGCTGAAACTCCAATACTTTGGCCACCTGATGTGACAAGCTGACTCATTTGAAAAGACCCTGATGCTGGGAAAGATTGAGGGCAGGAGGAGGAGGGGACGAGAGAGGATGAAATGGTTGGATGGCATCACCGACTCAATGGACATGAGTTTGAGTAAACTCCGGGAGTTGGTGATGGACAGGGAGGCCTGGTGTGCTGCAGTCCATGGGGTCACAAAGAGCCAGACACGACTGACCGACTGGACTGAACTGAAAGTTTTTACTGGAGTATAGTTCATTTACAATGTGTCAGTTTCTGCTGTACAGCGAGATGAATCAGTTATCTATGTTCTTTTTTAGATTATTTTCCCACAGGTCATTACAGTGTTGGGTGGAGTTCCCTGTGCTATACAGTAGGTTCTCATTGGTTATATATAGTAGTCTATATGTTTCAATCCCAATCTCCCAATTTCCAGTTACTTTTAAACACAATACCTTGACTACACAGCCATGGTGGGATATACTCTAAAGATAAACAGAAGTGCCAAGACACCTTTAAAAGTTTGCTCAGTTGAGTATTTTCTCTTTTTTTAAAAAACTGAAGTATATTTTACATACAAGTTGTTAGCAAGTTGTTTTTACTAATAGTTTTGTAAATTTAGTAAATAATTTCAAAAATATTTACGCATACTGTAGGATAAAGCAAGCAAACATGGTATGGTGAATCACTAGGAACCAAGATGTTCGCTGGAAGCGGTAAAATACAAACATGAGAGAAGCTACATTAACGCGAAACATGCATGTGAGCCAACACGAGCCGCCGGGCACCAGCGGAGACTTACTTCCTGGCAGTACTGCAGGATGCCCTCCTTGGTGCCAGTGCAGGTTTTGGTCCCCGATGGGTCCGACTCCCACTTCCCATTCTGCACGTTCATGTGCATATTCAGCTTGCCACAGAACATGGCCACCTGGGGTTCTGCAAGCAGGCCGGCATTGCCGTCAGTGGGCACCTGGAAAGATAAGCTTGGGTCAGTTACAGAAATCCATAGCTCTGCGGTGGAGGCTGGAGGAAGGGCTGTGAAGAGAAACACAGCATGGAGATATGCTAAAACCAGCTCTATTCGTGGGAGCTCTCAATTATGAATCGCTATGGGTTATGCTTTCCGTGAGCTGGGCTTTCCCCCGTGGCTCAGAAGGTGAAGAATCTGCCTGCAATGGAGGAGACCTGGGCTTGATGCCTGGGTCAGGAAGATGCCCTAGAGAAGGGAATGGCTACCTCCTCCAGTATTCCTGCTGGAGAATTCCATGGACAGAGCAGCCTGGCGGACTAGAATCCACGGGGTTGCAAAGAGTAGGACAGGACTGAGCGACTCAGCACAGCACAGCATATATATATATATATTGGCCAGGCCACACAGCCTGTGGGATCTTAGTTCTCCGACCAGGGATTGATCCTGGGTCACAGCAGAGAAGCACTGAGTCCAAACCCTGGACCGCCAGGGAATTTCCCATATGAATATTTTTAAAAGGGGAAAACAGAAGTTCTGAAATATCCACACTACCCCACTTACTAGGTTCTGATAGCTCAAAAAGGGAAAAAAAAAAAATCAGCAAGAGATGACAAATAAATTGGCAAGAGTGAAAGTCTTATTCAAAACCAAAGAATCAAAAGACAGGACATGGAGGCCAAGTAATTTCTCCCTGGTTAAATCCAGCTGCCGAGGACATGTGTGAGGTCCATGCCAAGAAGAGTTAACTTCCAACAGAAGCCATTCATGTAGCTGGGGACCGGGTGATTCTAGAATAACTTGTATCATGTCTAAAAATTGCTCACAGGAGGGAAAAAAACAACAACACTAAAATTACACCAAGAGATTTCGGTTAAAGAAAGAGCTTCCTGACACTTCTTCCCACAGAAATGTAAAAATAGATCAAACATCTGTCCATTCTAGTCATCATCATACATATTTTGTCCATAAATCCCTAAGAGGATTTTTATCCTTAAAAAAAAAAAACCACAAAAATCATGCACTGAATCCAGCTGAGACCTCTCAGACCTGAGCAAAAGCTCCCGGCCACAATCTCTAAAACCATGCTTCAGGTAACATTTTCTACATTTCTAGTTCTACTTTGTAAAATGTATTTAGTAAGATTCTGCTTCTATGATGCCTGAGGTAACAAATAGCAACGCAAGCCAGAGTACTGGATCGTCAGCAGAGTAGCTGGCACCCCTCAACTCCCCAGCTTCACCCACCACCTATGATTTCCCAGTCAGAAACTGAGAGGCTCATGCTCCAACAGATGCAAAGAAGCAGTCTAAGCAGAATGCTTCATAAACGTTATGTTTCACAGTTTTCTTGAGGGAATAAGAGTAACTTGAATGCCTTGATCCTCAAAAAACAGCATATAAATTTTGTCCATTTTACTGAATTAAGTAGTAAGATAATAACACTGCAAGAAAGTCAAGCAGTCAGATACCTATAGACAAGACCCCATGTTAGATGCAATGAAGGACATAAAATATATTTATAATATCGATAAATACATAACTTATGTATTAACACATTTATTTTTAAATTCCACTGTCAAGGAATTGAAAATCAAATAATGAAATCATCATTGTATTCGCCATGGTACTTTATTCTGCTCAAACTCATTCTTGTCCCAAAGATTTCCAGTCTAAGAATCTTGAGAACTTGCCCATAACTGAACAGGAAGACTAATGATCTTTTACCATGGTTGGTAATAATTTTGTTGAATAAACTCCCCCCGCCTCTATCTCAACATTTTTCTGTACCTCAGATTCTCCACAGTGAGTTCACCACAGTTTCTATCTCCTTGTCAACACGAAGTCCCTGCATTCCAAATCCTCCCCTCAAGGAACATAAGGTACCAATTTCTCTCCCTCATGGCACCCAGTTTCCAAGAGTCCCAATAGTCCCTACTTCCTAGACTAATGCTCTCATCACTGTCATCCCATAAAATATTCAGGGTTTTTCTGTTGTAGCAAATAAAGTAGGGCAAAAATGATACATGTTTTCCAAGGCAAGGTTGTAAAGGGCATTAGGGTTGGTTCGCTGCTCTCTGGGATCACTTGGTATTGCGGGGCAGGGAGGGGTGTCCAGCTGCCATGTTGTAAGGACACTCAAGCAGCCCTGCGGAGAGGCCCATGTAATGCAGAATCAAGGTCTCCTGTTAACAGAAACATGAATGAGCTTGGAAACACCCTACAGCCTCATCAAGCCTTCATCTGCTGACATGACTGAAACCTCAAGACAGAACTGGAGCCAGAACCACCCAGAAGACACTCCCAAATTCTCCATCCACAGAAACTGAGATAATAAGTCTTTGTTATTCTAAACCATTCATTTTGAGGTAACCTATTACACAACAATAAGATACCAAATAAGTTCTTCCTTTTCTCCAGCTTCACAATACATTCACAAATATGCTCGGATCTCCTCTACTGGAAAAAAAAGCAAATAGACAAAAAATATTTCCTTCCATTCTGTTATATTCTAGAGCAGGGAGGGTCAACACATTTTCTATGTCAAAGGCGAGACAGTAAATATTTTAGGTTTTGTGAACCATACAGTCTCTTGTACCTGCTCAACTCTGTTGTGTGTGCGTTGGGTCGTCATGTTGGACTCTTTGCAACCCTATGGACGTTAGCCTGCCAGGCTCCTCTGTCCATGGGATTCTTCAGGCAAGAATATTGGAGTGGGTTGCCATGCCCTCCTCCAGGGGATCTTCCAGACGCAGGGATCGAACTTGTGTCTCTTACGTCTCCTGCACTGGCAGGCAGGTTCCTAACCACTAGCGCCAGCTGGGAGGCCCTTAAATCCGTTGCTATAATGCAAAAGCAGCCTCAGACAACATGGGTGTGGCTGCTTCATAGGAACATTTTCTTTATAAAACAGGCAGTAAACCAGATCTGACCAGTGGCCCCTAGTTTACCCACCTCTGCTCTAGAAGAACTATTATTTTTTCATTTTTTCCAACAAATCCTATCAGATGGTGATTTAAATAAGTGACACCACCTTCTTACCTGCTTCTTAAGACTCTTATAGGGTGGTTTACATTCCCACCCTTGGAACAATTTTCTCAAAGGTTACATACAACTTCCTGAGAAAGTCTGTTTCTCCAATACCTGTTACTTTTCAATTTCTTTGCCATACCTGAATTCTTCCTTGCAAGTCTTTCCCCTTGGCTTCTTTTGCAGTGAACTAGCCTAGCTCCCTATTTTTCTGATTATCCTCTTACTAACTCAAAATTCTTCAACGCCATAAATAAGACATTCCTATTGGCCATTGCTTCTCTTTCACCTCCTTGCTGCTGAGTGGGAACTAAAATATAACAACGGCAATAATGCATAAAGCAATTAACATTTCTTCATTCAGTAAATTTGAGTACACAATGCATGCTAGGCACTTTGTCTTTGGGGACAAAGCAATAAATCAGGTACGTGCTTATCCTAATAATAACAGGACCAACTAGTTTGCTTGGGACTAAGGGGTTTCCAGGATATGAGACTTTTAGCACTAAAACTATCAGATGCACCGGTTGAGACAACTGGTCACTCTATCGGCCAAACAAATCAAATGTTTCTCCATTTTTCCTACCTTGACTTTTTAACCATCTTTCTATTTTTTCCATTCTTCCTTATTTTTCTGTCTTTTTGACTTTATAGCTATTTTAATTGCCATCTGTTTGTATGTTTCTATATTCCCACTACCAAACGGTGGTAATCATTCTCTCATTCCCCTCAAATGAACTGATTACGGCCCTATCATCTTACTGGAATATATCCTGAATTGCCTATGATTGCCTCCTTTTGACAATGGGAGTTCAGAAGACATGTGCTACAAACCTTTCAGATTTCTACCAGATGAGATTTAGTATTACCTTAAAAAAAAAAGTATGAGAGTCAGAATCATCAGCATCCCCATTTTCTTAGAATGGAGTTTTTAGTAGTTCAAACCTTGGTTCCTCAACAGTTAGGACAACTTATTATGCAAGAAATTATAAAATTGGCTGTATGTGTATATCTGTGACATTTGACATTACAAGAAGCCCTTTATAAATAAATACTTCAATCACAAAAAACGTATGTCTCGGACAAAAATTCCTTCCCAAGCCAACACCAGCCGTGTACAAGATCCGAGTAAGGAAATAGTAGAGAACAAACTGAACCAGATGCTTTTCTATTCTTAATGAAGTACACCTGCAAAGAATTTCATGTTTTAGGTAACATATCCCTGGTTCGGTTAATAAAAACAAGACAAACAACCCAGGATCCTTACTGGCATCAAATAACCCGTCTAAGAAACAAAGCCTGGTTTCTGAGAGCAGCCCACTCACCCGCTGGCGTTCAAACAGAAGGGGACCACGACCATGCCAAGGTGGTCACACGGAAGATAATACCTACCCTTCTAAGGGCCCAACAGGTTTACCCAAATCCCTTTTCCTGAATGAAGCCTCAGAAAATGGCTCAATACATCATACACAGTGTCCTTTTCAGCACTTGTTAAAATGAACACTCTTAAAACTGAAATCTTTCCATCCTAGAGTAAATTATTTGCAGCTAGTGACAATGCATAATACCCTGTCAAAGTCATCCTAAAGGTAATTATTCCTAACTTTTACAAATCATTTCTCTTTTAAATAGAAAATATAAAATCTTGAGTGGATGGGGAATATATCCACTTAAATAACGATTATTTTAATTTTGCTTTCATCTTAACACCATCTAAAGTAACAACTTAATGTTACTTGGCAGAAATCTAAGACAGCACATAAAAGATTGGCACCCTGCTATAAATGGCCATTCATAGTCTCCGCATTTCAGAGAGACTGAAGATGAAGATAATTCTTATAACTGGAATGACTTTCCACTGACATCATAAGACCAGAGATGCTTTCCCATGGGAAAACAGTGCTCAATGACAAGGAACAGAATAACCGGCTGAAACAATGGCGCATGAACATTGCCTCAGAAGCAACGGGCTAT